AAAAAAAAAAAAAAAAAAAACCACCACCACCTGGAGGCCGCGGCGCCTGGAGGGAGCCTGCCTGGTCGCGGAAGGGACGTGGGGACCACAGGTCCAGGGTGCTTTCTCCACCGGCGCCCGCGGGAGGGGTGGCTCGGCCCTCCGGTCGGCCTGCTGTCTGGGTCCCAGGAAAGGGACGTTTAGTGTTGGGGGCAGTCTGTGGGGACAGTATCTGAGCAGCCTTGGACAGCCGGTTCATAGTTTTCCTTTGCTGCGCTGGACTTGGCCTAGGGGTAGCTGCCCCAGTGGCCGTGACCGGCCGCTCCTCGCTGAGGCTCGAGGTGGCCATGGCGCCGTGGGCTGTGCCGCCCATTCTCTGTATTACCCGCTGTTCCAGTGTGGATCCAGACTGGCAACTGGGTGGGGCGTCCCGTTACATTCTAGAGGCGCTCCCCACAGGGGCTGAGGCCCGTCTGGCCGTGGCCCGCGCTCCCGAGGTGCCGAGGTGCCGGGGAGGCCGCAGGAGCGGCCATGCCTCCCCTAACGCCGCCTGCGCCCTGCACCTGCCGCCGGATCGCGCGTCCACAGAGGTCCACGGGGGCCGCGGGGAGAGGGCCCGGCGGGCGGGGCTCACACCAGTCCCGGCATCTGCGCCCGCAGAAAGGGCACGGAAGCGGCGGCCGGGAAGGCGGCCAGCGGGTAGGCGAGGGTCCCAGAGAAGCCGAGCAGCGGCGGGGGCGGTGCGGGCGCGGCGGGCGCCAGCGGGAAGGGCAGCGTGGCCGGGGGCCCGGCGGCCGCGGCCGGGGGACTCTCGTGGTAGAGCACTGGCACACGGACCAGGCGCTGCGCTCCCGGCGGGGACAGGCTGGCCGCCTCCAGCTCGGCCGCCAGCTGCCGCTTCCACTTGTTGCGGCGGTTCTGGAACCAGATCTTGACCTGCGTCTCGGTGAGCTGCAGGGAGGCGGCCAGGCCGGCGCGCTCGGCGCTGCTCAGGTAGCGCTTCAGGTCGAAGGTGGACTCGAGCTGGAAAACCTGGCTGCGGGAGAAGACGGTGCGCGTCTTCTTCTTTCGGCCGCCGCTCACGCCAACGCCGCCGCGTGTCTCCCCCGCCGCCGCCGGGACCTCGGCCAGCTCTGCCGCCTCCTCCGCGCCGACCGCCGGGGCCCGCGCCGCCAGCTCCGCCGCCTCCCGCTGCACCGCTCCTGGCCCGGGGCCTCGCGGCCAGGCGCCCTCAGCACGGCCCATCTCCTCGCCTGTCTCCGGTGAGTCCCGGTCGCTGGCTGCAGGGGAGAGAGGGGCACCACCGTTGGTTCTAGGGCGCTGATATCCAGACTCAATCACTGAGGCCAGCCGTGCCCACCTTCAGGTCGCTCACAGCCACCAGCAGGGAGACCCTCCAGCACAGGGCTGGGCACCCAGCAGCTCTGGGGATGCAGACGGAGGCTGAATCATCGGAGGCGGCTCCAAAGCAACACCCCGCAACACTCACGCACGCACAAACGCACACCCACGCCAGAGGACAATAAAGAGTTGCACAGCAAAGAAAAGAAACGAAAGTACTATGCGGGAGAAGCAGGCTGAGCCCAGGGAGCACTCCCTACTCCCAGCTGCACCGCTGGCGGCGGGAGAATCACACAGAACACCCGCGAAGCCCGGGACAAGAGGAAAGAGGTCCTTCTGAGAAAGGTACACACCGAAAAACAAGCACAGGACACCCCTGCCACCTGGCACCCAGCCCCACACCAAGGCCCCCAGAGGGAGGAATGAAGAGTTCCCAGGCTCTTCCCACGCCCCTTGCCCCTTGCACAGAAACATTCCGTAGCAGGAGGACAAACCAAAGCAAAGGATCCCCAAAAGAGAACTCCCGCCGGCTGAGGCCGCACCCCCACACCTCATACCTTGTACCCTGCCCCAGTGCCCTCAAGGCAAGTCCACACCAGCCACAGTCATGCTCAAAGGGAACACGGGCACATGTCATTCCAAGCATCATGTAGCATGAGCCTGCCCCAAACACCTTCTAGACTGGAGGGTCAACCTCATGGGTTTGGGGGTATAGAAGCTCACAGCGGGTGTCTGAGTTCACTTTGCCAGTACCAAGCTCCCCTGCTCATCTCCCAGCACAAGAGGATGCCCACAGGGCTGGCAAGGGACGGTGTCAGGTTAAAGACACCAGCTGGGACCCAGGAGCCCTTGCCCGGATTGAAGAGGGCAGCCCTCCTATTGCCAGGTTCCCGAGGCTGACTCGGACCGGCTGCTTTTCTGCCTGGGTCTGAAGCCTCTCATGCAAAGGGAAGGCGCTGGCTGACAGGTCGGAGGTCAAGGCAGAGTTTGGCCTGGCCCTGGGCCCTCAGAAGGCTGTGCCCTCGGCTGGTGTGTGCCTGCAAAGTAACTGCTGTGTTTGCACGCTCATGCAATGGGCACACACACTGCTGGGCTGCTGTGCATGGCTCCAGCTCTGTGCTGGTGCCCAAGGAGTGTACGTCCCACTCATTGCATGGCCAGTCCCCATGGTGTGTGCCCTCATGGTGCCCACAGAGGAGTCGGTAGCAGGTTGTGGTGCATGCTACTAGATCTGGGGAGTCCCTGCCTCCCCCCAATACCCCAAGACCCCAAACTCAAAGGGGCCCATACGCTGCCACAAGGCACCGGGCTGGCTTGCCAGGTGAGGAAGCGGGACCCTAACCCGCATGGCACGAAATAAGCAGGCTCTGCCTCTGCAGGGGTGGGGGTGCCACCTGGGCTGCAGGAGGGGATGCGCCCCAGGGAAGAGCAAAGAACAAATTTCAACCTGAGAAACCTTTCCAGAATCTCCCCCAGAAGGGCACTACATGGAGTTGCTTAATTTCCAGGAAGCCAGGGAGGCTCTTCTCCAGTCTACGGGAAGGGGGTGGGGGCCTGGACTTCGTGAGTCTGGGCGCCAAGATGTGGGTCCTTTTACAAGGGGGTCACTCCACGTCAGGGAAATGGTTATCTACCAAGTGAGTGGGGGTCGGAGGCCACTTACTCCCCAGCACACACTGATATTCACACGGAGAACAGAATGATCCCAGAGCCGGAGGTTGCAGAGGGATCCCATCCTCAGCTGGCCCCAAGGTCCCAAGGCTGTGTTGGGGGTGGGGGTCTGGCAAAGCTGGGGCTGGGGGACTTGGACTGGCTTTCCTGGCCTTCCTCCTAGGGGCCTTCCTAAAGGGGAGGTCCAAAAGGAGGGCAGCAACCCTGGAACCCTGGGGAGGGGAAGCAGAACTCAGGGGTCAGATACCCAAGCAAGGGGGCAGATGGGTTCTGGGGCTGAGAAACCCCCAGCCCCAGTCTGGAGCCCTCAGCAGTGAACAAAGGCAGGGAGGGGGAGGGGCAGAAAAAGAAGAGAGGGGTCGGACTGGGGGCTTCAGAACAGGCTCCCTTCTTGCCTCGCACAGCCCATGTCTCCCCCACCCCCACCCAGGACCAAGAGGGAGGCCCAGACCCCTGTCCCAGGCTGTCTGCGGTGGGCACAGAGGAACATGACTTTGGGGGTCACAGCTCTTGTGTTAGAAGGCTCCTCCCCGGCCCCACCCCCACAAGAGTGGGCCCTCTGCTCAGTGCCCCGGTTTATTTTTCCCTGTCTGACGCTATTGTGTCTCCCTTTCCCTCCATATTTTCTTCTCTTTTCTCTCTGGGATCACTCTTCGGGTTCTCTTTCCAGCATCTTCCCTTTTCCCCTCATTCTCCCTCCCGAAGCACATTCCTTTCTTCCTCCATCCTCCCATTCTCCTTCTCAGCCTCTCTCGCCTTCTCCTGTATCTTTTCCTGTCCTCTTCCACTCTCCTTTCTCTTTTCTTTGGCCGCCTGTTGTCCCCTGTCCCCAGCCTCCCTGGAACTCGAGGAGCCGGCGATGAGTGAAGCCATGGCCTGCAAAGCCTCCTCTCTAGCAGAGCTCCTGCCCCAGAAAGTAGGCCTCAAAACCCGCCCAGCAAGTGGCTCTGTGGGGGCCCCTCACGGCCCAGAGGCCGTTCCACGGAAGGGAGAAGATGGCCGAGAACCGGCGGCGGCAAGTCCGAAGTCCCCGAGCGAACGAGCAGGGAGGAAGTCGGGCCCCGCCGCCTGGCCCACCCTCCCCGCGCCCTCACTCACTGTCAGGACTGAGGCCACCTCCGTAGCCGCCGTGCGCCCGTGGGTACCAGCGCGCTGCGCCTCCGCAGCCCAGAGCGAAGGGCGGCCCAGGACCGGGGGGCGGCCGGGGACCAAGGCCCAGCGCGCCCGGCCAGAGCAGCGCCCGGGCCCGCGCCTCGCCGCCGGGCCCCGTGCCCGCCAGCAACTGTCGCCGCCGCTGTAGCCGTCGCCGCCGCGCCTTCTCCGCGTCCTCATCCTCCGGGTCGTCGCCGTCCTCCTCGTCCTCCCGGCCGCCGTCGCCCTGCGCCGCGCGCCCCGCGCCCTTGGCCTCGGCCGCCAGCAGGTTCTCGATGAGGAAGGAGGAGGCTCGGGCCGGCGTGGCGCGCCCGGGCTCCGTCAGCTCGTCAGGCATCGCGGCCGCGGGCTGCTCGGGCTCGGCCGGGCTCCTCGGGGTCGCCCCGGGCGCGACCGACCCCGGTCCCCGCTGGGGATGGTGGCGCGCGGCTCCCGGGCGCACGCGCGGGCCGACCCCGGAGCCGCTGCCCGGAGCGCTGGCGTCGGGCCCCGCGGGGCAGGCGGCGGCCTCCGGGCTGGGCTGGGCAGGAGCGAGTGCGCGCCGACAGCCGATCGGGCAGCCGCCTGGCTCGCCTTTCAGGTCGCGGTCCCGGTCGCCGCCCGGGCGGCCTCACTGGGGGCGGGGAGGGGGAGGGGCCAGCAGGGGCGGGGGGCGCGGCTGGGTCGGGCTGGCGGCCCGCTGAGTCCCGAGGACGCCGCGCGGACCCCGAGTGCGGCCGCCGCCGGGTGACGCTGCCCAGACCTGAGCGCGCGGGCGGCGGCGCAGCCGAGGGCGGGCGGCCCCGGGTGCAGGGGGGTGGGTGTTGCCCCGGGTCCGGCCCCGCGTGATCGGTTCCCCGGGCCCGCGCCACCCGCTCCGGGGGGGGCGGGGCCTGGGCTGAGCGGCCATCCATTGGCTGAGGGGCCCCGCTGAGGAACGGGCTGGCCAATCACCGTTCGGCGGAGTCGTAATTACCCCGCCGCGAGGAGGGTGCCGGACCAAGCGCGAGTAACTGTGTGCGCGCGCGTGGTGTGTGCACGAGTGTGGGTGTGAATGGCTGTGCGTGTGTGTAGGGCTGCCTGGAGACCCCGGGGCTCCCAAGAAACTGCAGGAGGCTGGGCCACATATTTTTATTAGACCCCGCGTGTCATTTAAAAATGGGAACACTGCCCAAACACGACTGCGAAAGCGTGGCATAGCTTAATAGTCGCACTTCAGGAAAGATGCTTTCGGTGCCAAATGTAGTTCGGTAGAACTCTCCAGTTCCCGGGCTCAGTACCAGTAAGTAAGGAAGTCCCACCACGGGGCTCCGCGGGCAGCCCGCTCGATGTCACGCCGGTCCTCACCGCGCCCGCTCCGCCACCGCCGGCTCCCGGGGACGCCCGGGCCTTCGAAGGGGGTGGGAGCTTCCGGCCCAGCCTCTGCCGTGCGCGGAGGTCTCCGGGGCAGGCTCCATCCCTGGTCGGCTCCGCTTCTTCGCCCTAAAGGGGTGGGGAGTTCCTCCCATTTCTGCAGCGGGATGTTCGGGAACAGAACACACCCTGGGGCTGTGTGTCTCCGCTCCGGGGTAAACTTCGGGCTTACCTACAATAGAACGCTGCGCGGACGCGCGGGTGGAGCTGGCTTCACCCGAAGCGGGTTATTTCCGAGCGATACATCCATCGTCCCAGGGCCAGCCCCGGGCTCCCGTCCATCCGAGTACCGCCCGCGTTCCCAGAGGTGACCGCAGGCCTGGGCTTGCGCTTTGCTTAATTCTTCCAAACAAGCACGGTGGAGGGAGCATCACCCCCATTTTTCAGCGGAGAAAACTGACGAGAGAAAGCAGGAGAGGCTCCCCCGGAGGGTAGGTGAGCCTGGCTCCGGCAAGCCTGGAGTTCCGGGTCCGCCCGGCACCGATGCCCCGGAGTCCGGCGGCTTGGTGGGGCGGCGGTGCTCCGAGAGCGGCCGAGGCCTAGCCAGCGGGGCCCTCCCGGCTTGGGTTAGCAGAGACAAAACGGTGCACCTCTTGGGAGCGCGTCCTGGATGCGCTTTCCGGAGGCTGCCAGGAAGGACCTCTAGTGCTCAGTGGCTGCCGCGACCTCGGGTGGGAGGACTTTTCTGGGGAGTCTAGGACAAGATGCCCAGCCCATCTCTTTTGCCTCGGCAACCTAGCCCCGGAGGGGCAAAAATAATCAATGACAGGGACTCCCCAGGTTGTTTAGCCTGGAGGCAGCCACACAGATGGGGGCTCCTCTCCTCATTTTGTGTATGAGGCCACTAAGCCAAAGTGGAGCGAGTTGGGATTTTAGGGGGGAGCTGAGGTCTCCCAAGCCGTGCTCCCTGGGGTGTCCAGGGCCAGAGAGACTCCAGGGAGTAGAGGTACCCCAGCCAGAGGGGATTGGGCCAAGGAAATTGGGAAAGAGCGCCTAATTCGTTTGGATCACTAGCCTTGGGGCAGACACCGTCTACACGAGGGCGCTTTTGACAGATAAGGAAATTGAGGCCAGAAGAAGGGCCAGATAAAAAGACAAAGGGGAGGAGTGCTTTTCCGATAGCCGTCCAATTCCCGCAAGCTCCCCTGGGCCTGTGAGCGGCGCCTGGCCCACTCCTGCCAGTCCTGCCACGCGCCTGTCTGGGTTAGTGGCAGTTCAGTTTATCTCCCTCAGGCCTGGCGGGCTTCCTCTGAGTCTGAGTTCTAATTCTCTCCGCTCCAGGGTTGTCAGGGTTGTGTGGCCCTGGAGGAGGCGCCTCGCGTCTCTGATCCTATAACTGCGGACGATAGGCGTCCCAGACCGTTCCAGGCTGTTGGGAGTAGAGGCTGGGCACTTCCAGACGCAGGGCGCTCGCGGGTGTCTTCCCACTGTCCCTGGGGGGCGCGCGTGAGAACGGCGCTTCCACTCGCTGCCGCGCCGGGCCTAGGCTGGGGTCGAAGCGGGGCGGTGGACCCGAAGCGGGGACAGGCCCCCTTTTCCCCTGTCGCCTGCCGTCTGGGGGTTATGGGGAGCGCGGCCGCCAGGCGCCGGGCAGAGGCTGGCGAGTCCACACTCTGAGCCTCCCATGCCAGGTCCCAGCGACTTTCCCGACACTGCAGCGGCGAAGCCTGGGCCGTGAGGCGCGGGTGTGGGCAACTGGGCAGATCGCCGACGCTAAGGCGCAGGGTCGGACCGGGACGCGCGAACTCGCCCAGGCCACTGCCTCTGTGCTTGGTGCGGTTGGTGGGGCCGGTCAGGAGCAAAGCCCTGCGTCCAGGTGGGTGGCGAGCCCAGCTTGGAGACAGAATTGCTGGCAGAGGCGCAAGCGGGAATCGCTGCCTTCGCGGCCTGACGCGTTTCAATACGCCGCAGGTCAGAGCGGTCGGTCCGCAGTTCACAGCCCAAGGACAGTCTCGGCAAAGCAAAAGGAGGTCGCGGTACGCTCTCCTCACCCTCTGGGGCTGACCCCGGGACCGCCACCTTCAACTGGGGTTTCTGGCCTTCCCAGGACCACGGTCCGAGATTTCTGGTCACCGCTGGGCACGTCAGGATTTTGGGACTGAAGGACTCCCCCATCCAGAAAAGCAAAGCCTCTCCAAGTGAATAGGTTGTCGCCTTCCGGTCTCTGTGGGGGCACCCCCCATGCCCCCAGCCCACAGCCATCCTTCCTTGCAGGCAGTCCACCACCAAGCCCACCGCTCTCTGTCCACTTTGTCCCTAGGCCCCCTCCACTCCTGCACTTGCCGTGCCTCTCCCCTGTATCCTGAACCACCTTGGAACCTCCAGCTAACACCCTCCAGGGACTCCAGTGCCCTTCTCAACTGGACAGGGAGCCGCCTGACAGGGCCTAAGCCTTCCTTCCTGGTGTCCCAATGCCTCGCTGGGGCTGGCAGCCAGAGACGGCCCAGGAATCAGAGCTGAGGAGTGAGTGGGGAACCCGCAGCTCTGGGGAGGCAGACCACGGCCACTGCTGCCTGCTTTCTTTCCTTTTAATCAACTCTTTTGGAAGTTTAAGAGAACATCCATTTTAAATAAGTTTTACCTGATTTTCTTCCTTCTTTCATTCTTCATTCCAGTCCTTCCTGTCCTGATCTCACCTGTGCTGCCCCGTGTACCTGCTCTGTGTCTTAATGTGTAGAAACAGTGTCACATTTCACACCTCCACTGCTTGCCATTTTGAAAGCGTATGAGGTCAACAGCACAGCAGCCCTGGCAACGCTCGTGTCCTCTCTCAGCTCTCTGCACAACCCAGCACGGCCCACGTGCCGCTGTTCTGCTTCAGTCACGTGTTTCCCCAAACCTTCCTGGTGTGAAACAGCCATGGATTCGATGCTCACTGCGGGTCAGCGACGGCTTCTCTCTAGTTCCTGAAATCTGGGTCTCCTCTGGAAGACTCAAAGCCGGGGCTGGGGCGGTGGACTCTTCTCAAGGCCCCTGTGCTCATTAACCCAAAAGCTGATGCCGGCTGTGCACTCAGGGACCCCTGCTTGGGGCCTCCCTACGTGACCTGGGCCTCCTCACAGCACCAATTCCCAGGACAAGTGGAGGAGGTGTGAGACTGAGAGAGAAAGACAGAGAAGAGAAGAGAACTCTCTGCTATACTTACTGATTGGAGCAGTCACAGCTCCCATCAAGCTTCAAGGTAAGAGACACGGACCCACCTCAGTAGGAAGAATGTGGAAGCCCACTGCCACATTGAACAGTGAGAAATACCACTGCTATCATTCAGGAAAGTCCAGCCACAGGGCGGCTGAGTCCCCTGTTGGGAGATCTATCTGTAGGCTGTTTGTGACTCTCCGCCTTTGCAATTAACATTGGAATGAACAGACCGGTCTGTCTTCCTGTAGGAGCCTGAGTTTTCTGGGGATGAATGCCCAAGAATGGAAATGCTGGGCATTTACACAGACTCACCTTCGAGAAGCACTTCAGAATCATTCTCCACAAGCGCTGTCTCTATTTCTGTTTGCTCACACCTTCACCAGCACTTGGTCTCATCTGACTTTTACACACGTGACGCTGTGACGTGTATAAAGGGAAACCTGGCTGTCTGGGGTGATGGGTCTCTGCTTGCTGAGAGGGTGCAGAGCTGAGCACGTCAGGAAGCCAGAGGGTTGGGTTTCGATGAGACAGCTGCTAGGAAGGAGGGAAAATGACGGACTGGGTTCTGGTTATTCAGCAACCCCTGCGTGCTGAGCTGAAGAAGCCCTTTCAGCTCTTAATTTGCAAAGCAATGAGGAGCCGCTGAAGGTTTTTGAGCTGGGAAAGCAAGGTTAAGGCTGGGCCCTAGGAAGCGTCATCTGAGCGCCAAACATATGCAAGGTGGACGGGGATGAGGAGGCGCAAGTGGAGGGTCTCAACGCAGTCCAGGGACGAGCGATGCCGCCCCCGAAGGCAGGGGCAAGCTGA